CACCCTACTTGCGATGGCCTCCAACCTAATAGCAATGGCCTCCACCCCACTTGCGATGCCCTCCAACCTAATAGCAATGGCCTCCACCCTACTTGCGATGGCCTCCAACCTAATAGAGATGGCCTCCAACCTAATAGCGATGCCCTCCAACCTAATAGCAATGGCCTCCACCCTACTTGCGATGGCCTCCAACCTAATAGCGATGGCCTCCACCCTACTTGCGATGGCCTCCAACCTAATAGCGATGTACCTTTCATACTTTACGCACCTATCTCACACTTTGCCAGGAGGGCAACCACTCAGAGGCCCTGCGCACCTTGCGCACGCTGAGCGCGGCCGACCTGCGGCAGTGCTCAGAGGCGGCGGTGTTGCTGGCGAACGCCTATGAGGCGCAGAAGCAGCCCTACCCTGCGCAGGCAGGAAACCTGGTTTTCCAAGAATGTTGTGTCAAGTGCATCGATTGTCATGATATTGTTTTCAAATGCCCAGAACAACAACACCTGAAACAAGGGAATTGTAGTTGCGGGTCGTTGCTGCCTGAAATCCGAGGCGATCTTCAACGAAGCACTGGCCGCTTTGAGTTTTGTTTGGGATCGAAACGACTGGTCTTCAGATGTTCTCGAAGGGGCAAAAGACGTCAAAATGAGCTGCCAGACAGTGGCGTGCTAAGTACGGCAATATCAATGTTAGAATGATACGATCTCTTTGCAAAAACTATATAACTGTCTAAGGAGTTTCATTAGGACAGCTCCTTAAGTTTCCCTAAAAGATCAAGAAACCAAATCACTAGTACGAGCGCTTCTTCAAGGAAGGTCCCCCCCGCCCTCAGGTGGGAGGAGCTTTGAAGAAGAGAGTAGGTAGTAGCTAGTAAGCTACTAGCTACCATTAGCTGCCTCTCTTGTACTAGCTACCCTACCTCTAGCAGCCTACCCCCCCGGCCTTTAAGAACTAACTTGTTACTACTAGCTTCTTGTTACTACTAGTAAGGCACTTGTTACTAGTAGCGTGGCACTTGTTACTAGTAGTAAGATCCTTATTCAGGCCTTTGGCCTTTCAGGTTTCGTAACACTGAGGCCGCCATTGACAAGGCTCCTGGGAGAAGCGAGAAGAAGGCGCCGAAGGGGCCGAAGCTGGGTAGCATCGGGGGCTCTACGTTCAAAGCCGGTGGAAGCGAAGCGGAGGCAGCGCAGTTCAGCTCCAAGCACATCGCAGCGCAATGTTGCATCTTGACCCGACAACTGCATTCGGAGCTTCATCGCCTATGGAAATCTCAAGTGACCTCCAAGGAATGGCTCAATGATATGCATTTGGCCTTTGACAAGCATTTGCAGATTGGGCAACAACTGTTGGCAGCGAGCTATTTCCGACGTCACATCTCTGATACCATGGATTTCTTGGAGATCATGTGCAAGCTCCTCGAATCGCGGGAAGTCGAATCGAATCGAGATCCTCAGGGTGCTGCTGCCTTGAGCTACGCAGGGCTCGAAGAGTTTGCAAGTCGTATGGAGCTAGTGATTTCAGCCACTCAAGCATCTAGAGACGCAGTACTTTCCTTGGGAATTCCTGTCGAAGGCTTAGAGCAGGACGTGGCACTACCGGTGGAGGTTCTGGTGGCTCGCTTGGATCTTTGGGAAGCTCGGGTATTGGCATTGAGACGCTGTATCCAAGCAAATGGAAAGTGGCATCGAAACTTGGAGATTCCCTTAAAGTTGTTGCTTTTCCTTAGCTTTAGGTTGGAGGCCATCGCTATTAGAGAGGGTAGGACAGGATAAGCAAGTCATAGGGTGCAGATGCCACACATCGACATCTCTCAATCGGCCGCTCGTTTGATCGGCCATGTGGAAGTGAACTGTTGCAACCAGGCAACTGCAAATATCCCACAAATGATGAACACCAAGGTCAAGGTTACAACATGAGGTAGAAAACAGCAGAAAGCCAACCTCAATGACTCAAAGTACGAAGTTAATTTGTCATCGTGGGGCAAACTGGCATTTGAGCCAGGGGCAACGAATCCCAATGATTAGATACCCGATGATACCGTGTTGTTCAAAGGAAAGACCATACATTAACACACATGAAGTCTTGTCCAATCTTCTTTCTGCCAATGCAAGGAAAGGTGCAAAGGGAACGGCTGCGGCATGGGGATTTGAAGAACGGGCCTCTCTTTGTCGTGAGCTCCAACGAGGGCGGCTTCTTCGGAGGTTCGTTGAATTCTTCGGAGGAGGGTGGCTTCGGCATGGATGAGGACCAGGTGGAACGATGGCTTCAGCCACTGGGAAAGCAGTTTTGTGCTTTAAGATGTTGTTTGTTTACTGTTCTTCTCGTTTGGGGGTGGTTTTAGATATCACCAGGTAGACAGAAACGGAATGCTGTCGGAGAATGTGGAAAATCGATGAATGCGAGTGGCTAAGGGATTCAGACCCAAATAGAGATGTCTCAGGTCAGGAATGTCCAGCTGTCAACGAACGATGGTGAGATTTCAGCAAGTACCCTAACATGCGAACAAACATGGGAATATGGGAAGAATGGGTATGTCCGATTTAATTCAGTCGTTTGACGGGTTACCATGTCACCAGTTTCAGACCAAAAGCCACATGGAACAGTAAGTTCCTCGAACCGCGTTTGACTTTGCCTTTCAAAGAAATCTCGTTCACCTTCTCGTCACGTCTCCATCGCGTCACCAGGCTGGTCGAGGAGCAGATCTCCGAGGACCAGAAGATGTCGAACTTCGCGCGCGACATGGCCGAAGTCGAGGATTCCCTGGCCAAGGCAAGTCCACGAAGCGTCACGGTGTCGTACGGTTCCAGTCGCGGTGAGAGCGAGCCATGACCGGGTCACAAAAAGAGTTCTTCTCGGTTTGAGGTCCAAGAGTTGTAATATGTTGTAATGCTCAATGCTTGCCGCCAGAAGTTGTCTACAAGCGCGGAGCCATTCAAAAAGGTGAGCGAGTATGGGGCACAAGGTTGTGTTTCAAGATAGGGAGATCTGCAAAGGAATGGTCCGAAAAGAAGCTCGGCACTCAACATCCCACGGACCAGCTCAGCCTGTGATCATGCCGCTAGGTCTCCAACGCCGTCTCTGTCCTAGAACTTGGGGTGTGGGACTTGGAGCCACATGCTGACAGGAAACCGAGAATAAGAGTTGCTCTTGAAAGAGGTCTGATCTCTTCCAACTTGTTCGTGCATGTCACAACGAGAGTTCGGCATTTATGGAATGAATGCAAAAGACAGTAGCTTGAAAAGTGTTCCGGTTGTTTCAAGACAGACCCTTCCTCCGGTTCGCTGGGTGTCATCAAGTTTAGGTAAACACAGCTTGAGGTTGAGCTTCCTGAAGATGAGGAGGCGAGCAAGTTGTTGGTCAGCCGGAAGTGATGAATAGAAAGGCAAGAGTTACTCTAGAGTCAATAGTCAGCATTAAAGTCTGCCCATATGTATACCCATGTTGAAACATACTTATGATAGGCACAGATCGGACATATGGTTAACTGCTGTATGTTTCACGGTTGTTGATGTTCAATGCCAAAGCCAGGACATGTCCAATGTCCAATGGGAACAAAGGCCTTCTGAAGGATCCGGTCATATATTCGCCGAGGCGGCTGAGTCGGCGGAGTCTTCAAAGCCTCCAAAGTATCCCACACTTTGGTCAGAGGCGACGTGAAGGGTGCAGAAAAGAGACGTTCACATTTTACTCGTTTTCGGCAGAAGAGAAGATAGATGAATGAGCACCCGCTGGTTGAGTTATCTACTCTTGTAGAGATAATAACAGGAAACGGAATGATACTGGTGTTGCTTTGCGTGTCACTAAGAGACAGGCAGATAGAAGCATTTCGCCATATTTTACCGCATGTCGTCCATGCGCTTGCAACCTTACCTCAGTTTGCAGAAGACAGCTCAGCCAGCTCCCTGCAAGGTCCAATTGCTTTCTAGTATTGTCGAAGAAGGACTTGGTATGGGGAAGCTTCCCGTTTGGTGTTTTTCTTCTCCAGTTCTGTTCAGGCAAAAGCAGAGATGGGGCGGTTGCAGTTGGAGTTGTCCACACGACAGGCTGGACGAAACCGTAACCCAGAGCAGGCTCCTATGGAGCTCATTATATAGCATCCATGTGCTGTGTTCACTCGGATCCTTCCCCAAGTCGCACGTCTCAATGTTCAGAGCTCTGCTGGATGTTGCGCTTCTATTGATTTGGAACAAGAATTTCCAGCCCTTCTCTCTCTGATGTGAGGCAACTCTCATCCGATCTGCTGGAACGAACCTGGAGGAAGATGCTCCCGTCCGAACCCCCAGGAAGGTAATCGAATGGAGGATTCCATCGCTGGCGACTCCGGAAAAGCAAGACACACATGCTGGCGGCTCCGGTGAACAGCTGCTCCACACTTGTGTTGTTTCATTCCTTCTCAATTGCCTCGGATGCTTGACACAAAACTAGACAAAAATGTTGTGCGTCCAGTAGGTTGTTGCATTATTGATGGGAGTTTTATGTGTTTATACTTATTCAACAGTATCCATTTGTGGGTTTTGGGGGAAGAGCTTGTGGCCGAGGTAGCTGCTGCCAATGCCATTTGGGACCGTGGAGATGCTGATCCCACCGAGATGAGAGGCGGGTAGCGGTTGAAGTGATTCTGTCTTCAAAAGTGTGTGCCTCCAAAAGAGAATACGCACCAAGAACATCACACATGGCCATGCCCATTGCTTTATTGGAAATGACATGAAATGACTGGCTACCCAAGTGTTTCAGTGCCATGCCATTCCGGGATAGAGACGGATGAGGTTGACAACCATTCATCCGTTGAGGATTCGAGGCAGCAGAGAGATATAGCAACAAGCTGAATGCACAGGATCCCAGTCAGGCCTTGCTTGGGAAATTTGCCTGCAGTGGGGATTGGAAGAGACGACAGATGATTGAGAATATGTGGAATCACAGGGCAACAAACGTGTAAAAGGCTCTTGAGTTGTTTTCTAGGATCGTCCAGATTCACTGGCAGGTCCCATCTCAAAATGTTCGTTGATGCTTTGGCGATAGCCGTGGACAATATGCATGTCCTTCCTGCCGAAATGATGCAAATTTGGACTCACAGCACTTGCAAGAAAATGTGCAACACCGACATAGTAGCAAGAAGCTACTAGTAGCTCCGGGCATTACTACTAGGAACAAGAAGCTACTAGGAGCAAGGGCATTACTACTAGTAGCTATCCAGACCTTTTCGAAAAGAGTTTATGTTTGGAAGGTCTTTCAAGCGAAGGAAGAGTCCGAAGAGGCCCCAGAAGAAGCGGCGGAAGCTGCGGAAGCTGATGAGCCCAAGCTGCAGAATTGAAGATTGTTCCAACGCGCATTGAAGGTCATCCCCCAAAGCTCCGGAACAAAACGGAAGGGTTTGGGAGTAGAGTGCAGGGAACTTAGCAGGAAAGAGGCTACTAGTAATAAAGGGCATCGCTACTAGTAGCAAAGACGCTATTAGTAGCTCCTGGCATCACTACTAGTAACAAGATGCTACTAGGGCCACCATGGGCCACCTGTAGGAAGGTGACTAGGAACAAGGGCATTACTACTAGTAGCATTCTTGCTGCGAGTAGTAATGCCAGGAGCTACTAGTAGCGATGCACTTGCTACTAGTAGCGATGCCCTTTGTTCCTAGTGTTCTTGCTACTAATAGCAAGGGAGCCACCATGGGCCACCTGTGGCCATGCACACCTCCAGCACCGGAGGAAGGCGACGAAGGCTTTTTGAACTTCATGGAGTTTGCTCGCACTACTCTTTGTGAGGCACCGCTATCGGCTGAAACAAACAAACACTTTGGGGAGAAAAGACGCTTAAACTCTGGAGATGAATGAAGATTTGCCCAAATCTACCACAAAATCCTTTCAAAGGCATTCTACTAGAATTTGTCCAACCAAACAATACACAGCCTGACGGCAGCAGACCCTACCAAATCCTTGGGGTGTTCACCAGGCTGCCACAACAGCCCTCAGCAGCATGAACCTCGTGGCGGCGCAGCGTGCCTTTGAGGCGGTCGGCCGGAGCTTGAACTCTGGACCCGGGAGCCAAAACGAAACACAAAATGACACAAAGCACCAAGAGGTGGGCCTTCCTGGTGAATTTCTGAATCGCACAGAGTTGTTTGATTCGCAGGTCTTGGCTTGCCAGGGCTATGGCCTTCGATGCCCCATGGCCAGCTTCGAGCGGCTTGACGCCAGTGAGGAGCAACTAAAGAAGGAAGGAACATGAAGGAAAGAACCACAAAAGTGACTGTTGGATGGATAGACAGCATCTTTGTGAGTCTGTACACACAAGGTTAGAAAGCTTGGCTATCAAAATGTTCGTGTCTATAGAAGAGCAAGTGTTTTTTGACAAAAACCACTTAAACTCCGTTGTTTGGGACATACGATTACATACAGTTACGTACCATGTACACGATGTTGAAACGCCAAGAGGGATTCAGACTCAGAAGTGTCATCAGTTTTCTGATTTGTGAGATGGTCTCCAAGGTTCCTTTGTTGGCTTCAATCCACTGAAGCATTGGCCTCAGCATGTGAGTTGGCTGACATGATTTGCGAGATGAAATGAATGACTGAGGTTTGCATCAGGGAGGAGAAGATCTTCAAGGCATCAGATGGGTGAAGCTGCAACTTCCAAGGGCGTCAACTTGGGAACATCCCAAATCAGTTGTTTGCACCTGGAAATGCAGGATTGTACTGAGTCTCAGGGCCCTCACTGGTGCCAGAGATACAACGACTGAAATCGGCTCGCTGTTGCTCTGGGATGGGCCACCCCTTCCGTTGTTTGAAAGTGTGACAGGAGAAGCTTCCAGAGGATGCCGATGAGCGGGTCCAACTGTATTTGTCTTTGGCCTCAGATTTAAGGCTGAAAGTGTTCCGGCATGCTGTTGTCTTGTGCTTGAGCATTCTAGAGTTGTGAGTTCAACAGGTACCGTTCGAAGCTGCAATAGTTACGTGTTTGTTTCAAGGGATTTGATTCCGCCAACATGGGCAGTCTCCACCCCAGTCTTCAAGGTCTTTTCGGACATCGCTGAATTTCTTATGATGTACTGCCTGTTCATTTGTGCACTAATCATTTTGATTCATCCTTCAGAACCGTTTTCTCAGAAGCAGTACTTCCTCCATCTCTTGTCCTAGGCCGTTTGTGACCTGCAGTGCGAGTTCGACCGAGGTTGCGGAACCTGGAGAAGCGATGGCCCTTCCCTGAGGAGCTGAGCACCTACAAGGCTCACGGCTTGCGGAGCCAAGGAGCGACACGATAGATTCAGCAAGTTTCTCCTACCAATTCCAAGCAGTAGCAGTTTGGTTTTAGATCTGCCATTAGATTGGCTGACAAGTAAGGATCACTTTTTAGTTGCTTGATTACAACCTAGGACGAATCAATATTGGTTGATATTTGTTGTCCAGGACTGGGATTTCTAAGGAAGAATTGAGTTTCTCTCTGCTTACTCGGTTGGCCTTTGGTTGTAGAGCGAGACTGCATGAAACCAACAACGCCGAAACGACCTGGCAGAAGCTACCTGGAGATATCTCATGCGCAAGTGTTTTGCACTGTGTTTCCTCCTCAAAGTGACTCTACTCTTGCAATTGTGTTTTTCATGTGCCTTTCATATTGATGTGCTTCGCATTCCTGTTGAACAGACCTCCCTTTTTACTCGTCAGCGACTCCAGATGGCAGGCTATCAAGCAACGCCTCGAGACGGAGTCCTCATTCTTCCCACGACTGCAACTGGACACGCCGTCGCTGAGACTGTCGAATGTCGTTGATTCATGTGCTGCTGAGGGTCGGTCCAAAGCCACATAAACTACTAGCTTCTTGCTTCTAGTAGTACGGCCAGGAGCCCCTAGTAGCGTCCTTGCTCCTGGTAGCGATGCCAGGAGCCCCTAGTAGCTTCTTGTTCCTAAGCTTCCTGTTTAACATTCAAGAAAACAAGAAGCTTCAACGAAGTCTCAACAAGTTGGGTCTGTTGCTCTGGCATTTGGATGGTTGCCCTGCCTCCGCTTGTGAATTCACGGTGGCTTTTATGATGCGAAAAATGCAGTAGTAGTTTAGTAGTTGCGACTGCACAGAAAGCGAATTCAAAGCAGACTGAGAATGCATGGCCTCATTCACATATGGATATCGACTTCGGCCACTGACCAGCTCAGCTCGACAGGACAAGTTGCCAGCAATCGAAGATATCCTCCTCTCACACCTGCCGGCCTCAACTCTTGTGGCAGTACGCTGAGTGGACAGAGGA